GAGAGAGAGAGAGAGAGAGAGAGAGAGAGACTTTCTGTTTATTTGCACTCCACAAACCCCTCCCAAGCACAAACTCGTTCCCATAATATCCTAAAGATCTGTGAGAGTTATCTAAAAAACAACATTACAAATAATAATATTATTAATAATACTATCACTGCGTGAGCATGCATCGAGTAACTGGTATATCTGCGATAAACGTGCAAGGTTTCATTCAAGGCTGGTAATAGAACTTTGATAATAGTTATAATAATAATATTAATAATAATAATAATAATAATAATGAAAGCTTATAACAGAACCCTTGCAAGGCAAGCATCAGCGGTTTTCTTTTTGGTGTGGCATTTAGAGCACAAACTAACAAATGTCATTACGGGACGGAGAACGATAGGACGATAGGCTGGCTAAAGAAAAAACAACAACAAAACAAACAAAACAAACAACAAAAAAACAAACCCCAAACCCCAAACAAACATACAAACATACATACATGTCTTCTAAACCAGAAACAAAAAAAGAAAACTTGTATTGAAGGAAAGCAGGGGCGTTTAATTAGATCTACGACATCGCTCGACCTATACTATGAGCACGTTAACAGAAATATGGCGAGTCGAGCTCCTCCTATGACAACTTATATAATTGAATACTTTCTAATATTCCCACGATCTAGCTCGGTGTGCCATGACTTTGATCGATCTCTCCCAAGATGTGAAAGCAGGCAAGAGGCATGTAAGCTCTGTTAGCATCGTGCTCAGCTGTGGTCTAGATCTAGGCCTATATGCCCTTGATTCGGATCCCAAAGGGGAGTGCATTTTTTAGGCTTTTAAAAATATTCAATATTTTTAAGGGGGGGTCAGTGCATGTGTCCTGCCTATTTAGCTATAGCTCCTATAGGAGACGGACGTTAAATTTGGAAGCCTTGTCTCTTATATAATTAAGAGTTAAAGGGGGAGTTGTGTCTATCTCAAACCATATGATGTAACAAGCAGATATTAGAGACAAAACAAGCATGAAAAGTTGGGGCTGTTGGTAATTGGCTAGCGGGTTAAATGTTATTCTCAATTAGAATTTTGGGATAGGATTTTTGTTAGGCAACCAGAGTGTACTTTTAAATGACTACTGCACGATGTTTAAAAAAAATTTCTTAAATTTGATTTACAGTTGAATCCGCTTAAACCAATTCTGCAGGACAGCAGGGTTTTAAAAAAAAGTTTAGCTGGGTTTTCGGTTAAGAGATATTGTTCATAGATGAGAAAAAAAATTGAGGAATATATTTTATTCTTTCGGTTACCACTTTTGCTTCTGTATTGTTTGGTTTGTTGTTTGTTTTGTTTGTGTTTTTGTGTGTGTTCTATTTACTTTAATCTCCTTCGGAAAACACTTCACTTGTTATAACAGGTGCCTGCTTCTTGTTTGTGGGTTAAAAATGCTTTTGTTGTTTTTTCTTTTAAGACATCGATCTACTGACAAACTTTCTTTCAGAGGGGGATGCAACATATTGTACCTCCATTCGACATCGACTGTTTGAATCATGTGTTTCAGTTGGGTTGTTTTTGTGACTTTTACTTTTGACTAATTATAGGCCTAGTGCTTAAATCAACACCGCTCTTTTTCTCTCCTGTGACTAAAAAAAAGCGAATTAACGGGCCTTCTGTACACCCCGCAAGAGATAGTTCGTTTTTTCAACTAATGTAAATGCTTTAAACACATAGATCTATAGCCTATTTTAAAGGGTAATTAACTTTTTAGAAATCAAGATGGGCTTAAACTCCTGTATTTTATCACTGTAAATAACTGTAAATATTTTAAATGGTCGCAATGTTTAAAACTGCACTACTTGAATGTTTTTCCCATCTCGCGCGAAGCCAGGAAATTGTCTGTGCAAGTTTCGTCGAAGGAAGATATACTTGAAGAAAAATGTAACAATATCTTCTGAGACGACACTGTTATTCATAAGCGCGAATCACCGCTCCAAAAAATCGCTCTTTCCATAGGCTTAGGCCCTAGGCTAGGCCTACAGAAAGGAATCGACCACTACATTGTTTACAAGCCGCAGTGTGTTACTATTGGAAACACACGAGTAACGATCGCCGTGGTGCACTGTGGGTAGGCCTAGATTATAAAGCAGGTGCCGAATCTTGCGCATGACAGTTTCAGGTGATTCCTCCCGCCGGTCAAAGCCTTCTGCTTGAATTCTTTACCCTGTCCGTTACACTAGACACAACATATCAAGATGCGTGAAATCGTACATCTTCAGGCTGGACAGTGCGGCAACCAGATCGGTGCCAAGGTAAGTTTATTTTCCTTTTACAAAACAGACAATGCCCAATATTTGAGGGTCCCAATAGCCTAGGCTAATTGAGATTCTTGGCCTAGCGGAACGCGCGCATAGGGGTCTAAAAAATGTCAAGACGAAGATGAACCTCGTCTTGCACAATCTCTGGAAGTCTTGATCTCGATTTGATCTTGGTCTTGTGCCAACGGCGACGGACTAGATTCAAAGTTTGGTTCTTGACTGTAGCAGTGTATAAATTTAACTCGTTGGCCAGTACTCTTGTAAGTAAATGCATTCCTTCAATTCACTTGTGTGTCCGCCCATTCATTGGTTTCGTAGCTTCATTTTTTTTTTCTGCAATGAATGTCAGTCCGTGATTCATTGTCATTGGGACGTGATCTCCAGGCGAAGCACTCGTGCATTTCCTCTTGTTCAGTATGAAAGATCTATTCAATCCCCAGATTCCAAAATTTCCTTTACAATACAATGCCCAAGAAAGGATTTGCAATAAATTATGATAATGTCATCTTGAGTTTGTGTTTCAAGTCCATTGCATTCCAGGACATTCCTTGGTAAGATTGAAGAATACTGGACCAGCGGACTGACTTTGCCTCAATTTCTCAACCTTAGGCCTTAGGAATTCATGATTTTCCCCAGTTTTTAATCTCAATGGAGAATCCCGGACCGGTACATATCGATTCATTAGGCTAAAAGTTTGTCTCTACAAATGTCCAGAGTTCCAATAGCCTGCTTGAGATTCTTGGCCCAGCGGAACGTGCGCACAGAGGTCTAAAAAATGTCAAGACGAAGAACGTGTGCTTGATGAACTTTGTCTTGCAGTGTAGGCCTAGCTAGGGGTTAGGTTGGGGTTAGATCTTGATCTCTTTTAGAATCTACATATGAAGCTACAGCGAGCACCGAGCACACCTGTGATTGGCCAAAATATAGATCTAGATCCTAGATTTCTAGATTATATATTTCCGCTGTCTATTTTTGTCGTCTTTCGGGGCCTCCCTTGAAATAGGCTACTAGATCTAGATCTAGATCTAGTACGTCACTGGGTTTCACCGCCGACTGCTTAGGCTGTGTCGATCAACTGTGTGTATGTGTAGCCTCTATGACATGACATGTGTGTGTGTTTCCGCGCACGTGTGTGTGTGTGTAGCCTACAACTTTGAGGAGACTAAATTTGTGGATCGAGAATCGCTGAAATTGTTTTTAAAATAATAACACGAATTGATTAAAAATATTAGGCCTAGAATCTAGTCTAATTTATTTAAAAATATAACAACAAACATGGTGAGATCAAGTGACCAGTTACTGGCGAGGGAAACCTAAGAGTCTTGGGGGAAACCCCGGAAGACGACAAAAATAGATGGCTAAAATATGTGATCTAAAATCTAGATCTAGATTCTATATCTAGATATCTATATCTAGAATCTAGTTCCTCTAGGCCAATTACAGAAGTGTGCTTGTTGCTCGCTGTAGCTTCCATGTGTGTCTCTTCTTTATTGTGTTTGTTGGGGTTGTCAGTCGTTACAGTTTATAATGGGCTTAGTTTTGTAAGGTACATCTATTCAGTGGGTGGTTGACGGGTGCTCTGGTGTGGATTGCTCTTTCGAAGTGGCTATTCGGACTCAAATTCCAATTCCAGTGCGCGTGCGCAATCACCGGTTGTACCAGTAAGCGAAAAGGTCTATACTCGAGTCCGAATAGTCTCCTGTTGCTATTCAGACTTTAAAACTATATCTACTGATAGGCCATTACACTGCACTTCAAGTCTACAAAGGGATCAAAATTTTTAAAAATCAGTCCTTATAAGGCAGGCGCCGCGCCCCCCCCCCCCCCCCCCCCCCCCCCTTGTTTTTTCTCTCTCTCTCTTTTACTTACTTTTCCTCTCCTCATCTTACTTCCCCAGGCCCACCCCACCACTTTCACCTCTTTTTTTTGGTTTTTGCATCGATAGATCTAGATCTATATTCCGTCCCATACCGTTGCCCACTGCCCAGCCCTACTATTATGTTATATCCTTTGTAAAGAAAGACCACAGTTCGCACTGGTTCCTTTGCCAGATCGTAGAAACCGAGGAAGGCCAAGGTCGAATTGCTCTCTCCTTCTTTTTTGTGTTTGGGCTACCTGTGTTTGTTACTCTGTTGTGAAACTTCAAATCTTCGGCACTTATATGACCTTATTGTGTTGCTAGTGCTATACTATAAACTTACCAAAAAAATCTATTCACCTGAGCTTTTCATGGGATTCCCCCGAAGGAGGCCTAGAAATCTAGGCTATTCAAGTAAAAATAAATAAATAAATAACCTAGCTGGAAAGAAATAGTGTTCATTGCTAATGGCTTTTAGATGTACTGGTCACTGTCAGAAATCAATAAGCGAGGATTATCAATTTTGTCGGGAGAGCACACCCCGGAAGGCGGTTTTTTCAAATAACTGCGACCCGCCGGCGCACGTTCAACTGGGTTGCCAAGTGCCAAGCCCTTTTGAGCGGGCAGCGGAATTTGGGTCACATTTTGGGGGTATTCAAGAGCTTGTTGTGGTTGCACAGTCATGAAGCCTGGGCCTGAACACTGTTTGGCCGTTGGTCGATATCGTAGGCCGGACCTGTGTGCAGGTGACTAACGGGCGCTGGCGACCTAATAATCTAAGAATACCCGCCGGGACCTAGAAATCTACAACTCTTACGCTGGTGCGAAAATCTAGATTAATTATAGTTGTTCTTTTTAGTTTTGTTCAGTTTAAAGTAGATCCTTTGTAAGGATTGGACTATGGATTTGATTCATTTGTGGGGATTTTTTTGGAAAGAGGGGGGGGGGGGATCTCCCAAAGGAGTAATTAATTCCGGTAAAGATTTTTTTCTTCTTTAAGGGGGGTTAGGGTCTTCTTACACTTTCCCATAGAGGTATAATTATATATATTATATGATGGGAATATTGACTGTTGGGTGAGCTGAGGAAATTTGGGAAACAATGTGTTCTATTAAAGTACAAAAACTTATAAAACGGCAATACTACTATAGATTCTGTCTATTTGTGGAGTTACTGGTGTTTATCTTATCCTGAACTCTACAAGAGCATACAGGGGGTAAAGACAAGGACACGGAAAAGTGTGCTATCATTTGTCCGTTTGTTGGTCAATAGTAGTATCAATTTATTCAAAGTGCTTTTGGCATACGGAGTGTCTGTGATGTAGAGTTAAGGTGCTTGGCTGTAGCACACACTAAGCATGAGTTGATTCCTATGTGGGTTGTTTTGTTTTTTTCCCTTTTAAGAATTTTAATCAAGTATCTCTGTCTGCGGAGACCTATTTCAGTGCACGTTGGCCCTGACAGGGAGGATGGAAGCTCACCTCTGAATTAAATATTGTAATTTGTGTTAAGGAGAGCGTGAAATATAAAAATTTGCATAATATAACATCTTTTTGCTTTTGGCTTGTTTCCTTGCTGGAATACATTTTAAATTTATATTTTTCCTAATTTCTCTTTTCAGTTCTGGGAGGTGATTTCTGATGAGCATGGCATTGACCCCACCGGCACATACCATGGTGACAGCGACCTCCAGTTGGAGAGAATCAACGTCTACTACAATGAGGCCACCGGAGGAAAATATGTCCCCCGTGCCGTTCTCGTAGACTTGGAGCCTGGCACCATGGACAGTGTGCGCTCAGGTCCCTTCGGTCAGATCTTCAGGCCAGACAACTTTGTGTTTGGACAATCCGGTGCCGGAAACAACTGGGCCAAGGGTCACTACACAGAGGGAGCTGAGCTGGTGGATTCAGTGCTTGATGTAGTCAGAAAGGAAGCAGAGGGCTGTGATTGTCTCCAGGGTAAGCTAAGTCTCCGCTTTCTTTGTTTTGTAGATATCTTAGAGAAATCAAATTTTCCTGGGGCCTGAAATTGGGGATATGGCGTTCTGGGGTGCGTTTCATTAAAAGTAACAAGTTATTGATGCATTCATGTACCTAATTTTGTGGTGGCTCCAGTTGCACATTCTCTGTGGGTAGTTTTTCTTGTTGATCATACTCTTCTGTTTTTAGTGGAAAAGAGAATTCTGGCTAAAAATTGTTATGTATTGCAAACAAGACTAATTTCTGCTTTAGCACGAAGCATCATCATAGTAGTCAATCCTGAAGGTTGTCTCTGAACATTTAACAGTTGAAGTGACGTTAGTTTAATAGTTTCAAAGGCTTGTTGTTAGTTGTCTGGGAAATTTTCAGTTTTTTTCTTTTTGGTTAATGTGGCTTGGTGTAGAGCGCAGATTATTGTATCTTTTCTTGACTGGTGATATTCATTTTTTTGTGTTCCTTCTTTCTCTTTTCTTCTTCACACTAATTTTCAATATATTGATTCCTTCTCCAGGATTCCAACTTACCCACTCCCTTGGAGGTGGCACTGGCTCAGGAATGGGAACCCTTCTCATCAGCAAAATCCGTGAGGAGTACCCCGACAGAATCATGAACACATTCTCCGTTGTCCCATCCCCCAAGGTAAGTTTATCTCGATCAGTGTGTTTAGTATCAGTAACTTCTTGTCATGGTTAAGGATCTTGTTTGTTTTTCTGTGTGCGGAATTGTAATTTGCAACAAGTCTATGTAATAACATACTTACTCAAGGGTGAAAAGTAAGGAGTCTTAACCTTTTCTCACTCCAACACACAAGGTAAATTAACTTTGATGGCTTTTTTTTTTTGTCTTCTTTTTTTTTTTTCTTTTTTTTAATGGATAAAGATGAGGAAATGCATCTGATTGAGCAGGAGGTTTAGTATGTATGTTCAGGGTTTGTTTGTTTTTTTCCCTCCAATACTTGTTTAACGGTTAATGCTTCTGTATTTTATGGTAGTGTTGACACCACTTTTGAGAGCCCTACTTTTTCCTCTCCTCCAGGTATCCGACACAGTTGTTGAGCCCTACAACGCCACACTCTCAGTGCATCAGCTGGTTGAAAACACAGACGAGACCTACTGCATTGACAACGAAGCCCTCTACGACATTTGCTTCCGTACCCTGAAGCTCACCACCCCCACATACGGTGACCTGAACCATCTGGTCAGCGCCACCATGTCTGGAGTGACCACCTGTCTCCGATTCCCTGGTCAGTTGAACGCTGACTTGAGGAAACTGGCTGTCAACATGGTGCCCTTCCCCCGTCTTCACTTCTTCATGCCAGGCTTTGCTCCCCTCACTTCCCGTGGCAGCCAACAGTACAGGTAAGCACTGAAAGAGGTTTAAGTTCCCTCACCTTTGCTGTTTGAGTTAATGCCTGTTCTGTTTCAATAGAAAAATAGCTAGGCTGATCTTGGCTTGACATTTTTTTCAAAATCAGACCTTTCAAAACACTTTTTAATATTATTTTTTTTTTTTTTTTTTTTTTTTTTAGTATTAGAAGAAAAATCGTGTCATCGCTGTTGCAAATTAAGTCCAAATTTTGAGAATTTTTCAATTTTACATCGTCTCAAAACTATCAAAGATGCACCTTTCAACATCACCAAACTGCTGTTTAGTACTATGGTCAAGACTTACAATTTCGTGCCTTTCATAAGTGCTGGAAGCACTTACTACACATATAAGTGCTGATGTATGCTGCAAATGTTTATTAAATAATTGATGTTAAAACTAAACCCAGTTTCTAATGAATGCTTGAAATTTTTTGTTTCCCAGAGCTTTGACCGTCCCTGAACTCACCCAGCAGATGTTCGATGCCAAGAACATGATGGCTGCTTGCGACCCACGTCACGGCCGTTACCTGACGGTGGCCGCCATGTTCCGTGGCCGCATGTCCATGAAGGAGGTGGATGAGCAGATGCTCAATGTGCAGAACAAGAACTCCTCCTACTTCGTGGAATGGATCCCCAACAACGTGAAGACCGCCGTCTGTGACATTCCTCCACGTGGTCTCAAGGTAGGGAAAACTGCCAGTTTTAAGATGGGTTCTCTTGCCCTCCTCTCCTTTTGTTTTCTCCAGAAGTGCAAGGGTTCAAACCATCAATTTTAAATACTAGTGTTTGTGATGAAGCAGTTTTGGCTCTTTGCTGTTGCATGGAGGATATAATTATGAGTTTTGTTTCCCTTGTGGGGATAATTTTTATAGAGTACCCTTCATATTTTTGTTGGAATATTGGGTTGAATAGCATTGATTAGAGGGCATAAATAAATCTGCCACAATTTAGTTTTGTCGCCCAGTTTTGAAAGTACTGCAATGCGCAGTATCGTGGAAGCTGAGTCGTATCTTGTTTAGGCTAAGCAAACCTATGATTATGAACACCTTCTACATTTTTGTATTCTTTTCTTTGATTCTACATGTTTTATGATGGAGCTTTTGTATTCTTTTAGTAGTGGGAATTACTTTTTGTGGTTGTCTAGAGGTGTATATTTTTAAATGTCAAAATCCCTCAAGTTTGGTTATGTTTGTTTAATGACAGTGATTTGAATATTTGAGGAAACTGGAAATTAGGACAACAAAAAGGAAAGAAAAAACTTACGGGGTGGAGAGTTAGCCTTCATCAAGGTAGATTGGACTCTTATGAAATGAGAAATTCTTCATTTATTTGTACGAGAACAACATTATTTTGTGTGTATGTCCACCACACCGCTGTTTGTCTGTGTGCATCAGTGTGTATGGCGGTGAATGTGTTTTACCACGCCACAGAAAATTTCATCATTGTAGGGCCAATAAAAATCCATTTGATCTTTTTCCAGATGAGCTCTACCTTCATCGGAAACAGCACTGCCATCCAGGAGCTGTTCAAGCGTGTGAGTGAGCAGTTCACTGCTATGTTCAGGCGCAAGGCTTTCTTGCATTGGTGAGTAGTAATAATAATAGATAGCTTTTGTAAGTTTGCTTTTTGTTTCAAATGGTGTCTCACATGTGTTGTTTTAAAGGGTTGGGGATATTCTGAAGCGGAAAGAAAGTTGCCCATACACCCTGTGCCCAATTTTATACTTCTGCAGAATAATTTCAGCTATCAAAATTTAGTTTATAATTGATTTTTAGCAGGGATACTTTAAGATGATTTAAGGGGGTGTAGCTATGGTCAACACCCAAATGCTGTAGTTTTTGGTCTAATGCTTGCTTTTCTGCATCAAAGGGGGTGACATAGTACAAAAAAAGGTTACCAAGCAAAAAATTCAAGATTTTAGCCATAATAATCTCGAGCCATCAAAAATAAAGGATTGATTCAGCATTTTTAAAACCAATTTTATATTTTGTCAATCATCAACACTCATCAAGATAGAAGCCTAATATTTGGCATGGCGATTACTGTTGGTAGGTAGAACAACCTTACAGAGCCAAATTTTAATTTTCTGTACTAACTTGTGAGCTTTACAGTCCTTGTTATGCATTACATTCAGGTCTCCAATGTTTTAAGATTTTTTAAAATAAAAAAGGCCTAAAACTCAAATGTGTACCATAAACAGCAAAAATGCTCCTGTAAAGTTATAGAGAAATGTGTACAAAAGATTGTGTGCAAATTTGAAACAATTCTGACAGTAACTTTCTGAGATCTACTCAATATAGTGTTGCAACCTGGTCAGATAAACAATTCTGAGAAAACTGCAAAGAGAGATAATTTTTGTTGAAGATTTTCCTACATTGCTGCCTCTCTTAAATGCGTTTTCCAGCTATTTATAAGTTTGATAAGGAATTAGGCTTCTAAAGATGGATCCTTGATATTGATATCTATTAAGATACTCCAAAATCCGAAAACTGATATTTTTTCAAAATTTTTACTGATCTGACCAGTGGATCCCCTTAAAAGGGTGAGAGATAGGGGTGTATCGTGTGAAAACTAGAATGTCTAGCTCCTAGTTACTGGATCAGACTAGTTTATGTTTGCAGATCTCTCTTCCTCCTTTTCTTCGTTTTTTGTACTGTGTAGAAATATCTTTACTTTATGACCTATTTGTGTTGCAAGTGCCATAAAACTCTTGACTATGACTATATATTTAAAAAATTGTTCCTCATCAGGTACACTGGCGAGGGCATGGATGAGATGGAGTTCACTGAGGCTGAGTCCAACATGAACGATCTGGTGTCTGAGTACCAGCAGTACCAGGACGCCACCGCTGAGGAGGAGGGAGAGTTCGACGAGGAGGAGGAGGATGGAGAGATGGCTTAAAAGCTTCCTTTACCTCACCCACCTGAAAGATCAAAGCATTGATGTTATTGACGCAATCAAAATTTTCTTAAACTTTTTTGGTTTTTGTTACCTTTGGTATTTTGAGTTCTGTTACCAAAGTCCCAATTGAACCCTGTTCTACGCATGAGTTCAAAACGCTTTATTGCCAATATTTGGACAGAGAAGCTGTACTTCTGCATTCCATTGTTGTAAATTTTTATTCAAAATTGTTATCAGGTATTAAGACCCAAGTGTTTTTGTTCATTTTTAGCAATAAAGCTGATTTTAGATAACAAAATGAACTTGATGACTTTCACATTTTCTTCATTTTTGTGTGTAACGTATTCCTCGTTCTAGAAATTCAAGGGGTCTTTGTTCATGTTTTCTATTCCTTGTGGAACTTTCATTTTTCCCCTACAACTACTCACATAACACACAACTTACAGTGTTTGCTGTTTCAGATTGTCTTATGATGATGGGAATTGCTCAAGTGTATTTCTGTCGAATCACAATTCTCAGTACCAGAGTCTGGGGTCGTGGTTAGGTGCTTCACGGTCACTCAGGAGACCCGAATGGGGAGAGTTTTTATTGAGTATCGAATCTTAGTCGTTTCTCAGTCTGGCCCTGACAGGCAGGATCAAAGCCAGCCTCCTAAATGATGTAATGTGTTGATGGGGTCATAGTGACACCTAGATTTACATTTTTTTTTAAACAAGGCTCAACAATCAACTGGCCTACCTTGATAGGTTTGCGGCCTTGACATAGTTGATGAAGGACTTAATCGAAGTCTAAACCCTGGATTTAAATTCAAGTCTGTACTGGCTTTAAGCTTGCCCTCTTCCTACTTGGAGCACTTGTATCCTCATCTTAGCTTTGTGCCTAAAGGAATAGAGCTAAAGTTTAATGTGAATCATTTTAAGGGTTTAATAGTTGGGTTGTTTTGTTTTTTTTGTATGGGTCAAACGTTGGCCAGTGTTTGCTGCACGCATGGGTGTGTCAGTCAGCAAGAGGGGCGTGTGATTTCCCCTCCCAACAGGATTTCTTTTCTGCTTTTAATTTCTTTTGTTTCAACAGTCAGTTTAGATCAATAGCCGTTTGTCTCATGTGACAAAATGTAAATTTAGACTACGGTTCTTCTTTCCTCCTTATCTCTCCTTCTTCTTTTTTATGTTTGTTACTTTCTTGTAAAACCTCTAATCTTCTGGCGCTCATATGACCTTATGCAGTTGCGAGCGCCGTAAAACCTCTACTTAAAATAAGACTACGGTACATCCTTGAAGTTGAAGATTCGGGGTGGGTGCTCTGGTGTGGTTTGCTCCTTCTTTCCTATCAAACAACTCTCGTCCTGATCTCTACTCATTTTTTGTGTTTGTTACTCTCTTGTAACAAGTAATCTTCGGCAGGGGGCTCTCGTGGCCTAGATGTTATGGTGTTCGCCTCTCTCTCATTCAATAGGTCCAGAGTTAAAATCCGGATAACGACGGAAATTTTTCTTCTCTAAATTACTGGTAGTAGATCTAGTATATTGTCCCCTTTCACCTCTCCTGATCTCAAACTCAAGCAATGTTCTGTCATCTGCTTTCATCTCCACTTTCTGCCTTTGCCCCCTCCTCTGGGCTCCTGACTCTTTCTGCAGCCTTTCTACTGCTCCTCCTTGGCTCTTTCTTACTGCTGTCTTTCAGCCACACACCTAGCCTTCTCGGACAAGGGCGAAAAATCTCGGAGGTCCAGTGTGCAAGTTGTGCATGTTAAAGATCCCTTGGTGGTCCAAAATCGATAAGAGTAGACTTCACCCGTCGTGCTGGCAAAAACCAAAATTTCCTACCAAACTGAAAATGTTTAGTGTGCCCCGCGCGCTCATAACTTTTTTAAAAAATGCCTTATGCAGTTGAAGCGCCGTAATAAAACACTTGCCGAAAAAATATACTCCGGCTCTTAAATTGACATAGACCTTATTGTGTTGCAAGTGCCGTAAAACGTTTACTAAAGCAAAACTAAAAACCATAGATAACCGCACACCCTCTCCATGCTCAAAGATAGCAGTAACACTAACAGGATGAAAAAGAAAGGAAGCTAGGAATTGCATTGACATACAGTGGAAACCTGATATAACAGGGATGGTGGGAGTAGAGAAAATGTCCTGTTACTGTTATATCCGATTTCTGTTAAATCAGAAATGCAAGGAAAGTAAGCATTTGTGGACTAATCCAGCTGTAGTTATTCATAGGCAGTTTCCTTTACCACAAGTAGGCCTACCAACGAACAGGGGTTTTGGCACCAACTATCTCCTTGCCTCCTTAAACCACATCAGAAGAGCTTGGTCCACAGCTTCTGCATCGGGTAGTCTCATCTTCTTTCGATCCAGAGCAAACTTTCCATTAGGGTATGCAGCCACTATCTTCTCTTTATCCTTGATATGGGTGTGAATCGACCTTCGTGGAATGTCGAACTGACGACAAATCTCTGCCAGTGGAGCTTGCTTTTTGTCAAGAGCCTGGATTATTTCGTATGTGTGTTGTTGTTTTTTGGTCAATTGAAAGACATTTTCTCTTGCGCTTGACTTCGTAGGTGACAGTAGACACATTACGCGTGCGTGTTGCTAGGTTTCGGGCTAGATCGAGGTCTGCAGCACACTGCAGCCCTCTCTCGCTTCACACGTTGCATGTGCTGGCAGTGGCATGGCTTGCATGGGCTTGCTCCATCACTGCTTTACTCTCTCTCTCTCTCTCTCTCTCTCTCTCTCTCTCTCTCTCTCTCTCTCTCTCTCTCTCTCTCTCTCTTCTCTCTCTCTCTTTCTCTCTCTCTCTCTCTCTCTCTCTCTCTCTCTCTCTCTCTCTCTCTCTCTCTCTCTCTCTCTCTCTTGCCTTACTTTTTACACATTGTTAGCGAGCCTTTGTCCCTGCTATAACCGGTTGGGCTCCGATGAGGCCCTGTTATTGCCGATAACTTTTAATAGAGACAAAGAGTAGGAAAAATCGGGGATTTAAAAAATCCCTGTTATTATCGGATCCCTGTTATTACCGGGCCTGTTATATATGGTTTCCAATGTAGTTATTAGTAGTTAGTAGTAGTACCGTGCAGTAAGTGAAGAGTGTACAGATCACTTGGTTTTGGGAGTGGGGGGCGTCACATGGTATATATAGGTCTTAATCGGTAATTAAAACAAACTAAAATCTAGTTGTTTCTGCTTCTGCTATATGACTATATGTGCTGTGCTATACTCTTTCTCTGCACTATAAATTAGAAACTGGACCTAGATTCTAGATCTTTTATCATACATACAGTCTACAGTAGTAAATGATAACCTTCTGTTGATAAAATTTGATAGATCTACATGACATGTTCATGTATGCTTCTTCCATTATTTTCTATTATTATACTTTATACATGCACTTCAACTTCAAACAAAACCAAGTGGATAGTATTTAAATATATATATATGTATATATATAGAGAGAGAATCTATATAATTTATATATAATATATTATTTATATATCCTCCTTTTTTGTTACCCTCTTTCAACACCTTGGACCTTAGTAATCTTCGACACGTATATCCCTACGACTAATTGCGTTGAAAGTTCCACAAAACTGTTTCTAGAAAAAAAATGTTAAAGTCACATACAGGTATGTTTCTGTGGTGTAAGTAGGCTACTGTAAGCCCTACTGGTTAGTAGATCTAGTAGTAGACTAAAGTAGAGTACACAGTTAGGAGCTTTGTTGTCAGTCAGACGCAGGACCGCAGGAGACCCGAGTAGGAGTAGGAAGGATTTTTATCTTGGTCCTACTTTCTGCTGGGACGTTGTATTTATTTGTATCTCTCTCAGCCCGGGTTGAAGCTGACAGGCAAGGTCGAAAGCCCGCCTCCAAAATGTAAATTGCGTTGATGGGGACGTAAAATCATTTACACTTTTTTCCAAGGTCACGTAGATGGCTTTTGTGGTCTGGAGGTACGGCGTTCGCCTCTCATTCAATAGGTCCCGGGTTCGACACTTCACTGCGACGGAATATGTATCTCTTCCTTTGCTGCTCTCTAAGTTACTCTAACCATGTTCAGTTGTCTGTTTCGTCTCCACTTCGGATCCTGCCCACTCCTCTGGGGTCCTCTTTCTGCTGCCTTTATTCTGCTTCTGCTACTCCTTTGCTCCTTCTTATTCTTATAAATTGCCGTCCTTCAGCCACACACCTGATCTAGGCCTAAAGCTGTCCCCGTTGTTTTTTATGCGAGAAAATTCTGAAATTATGCTAGCGGAGCCCAAAAATATGAAATTATGCGATTCTGTTAATTAATTTTAACAAAGAATGATGAAAGGAAAAATTATCAGAAATTATGCCCAAAAACTGATCAAATTTGGCTAATTTATGCGGGGTGCATAAAAACACGGGGACAGGTAAGGGTAGGTAAGATCTATCACCGAGCCTTCTCAGATAGGGCGCAAGATATCGGAGGTCCCGTGTGCAAGTTGCGCACGTTAATAAAGATCCCTTGTTGGTCCTAAAATCGATAAGAATAGCCTTCGACCGCCACCCGGGCAACATTCAAAATTAATTCCTACCATAATAATTATGCTTACATGTAATGTGTCCCGCGCGCTAATATGACCTTATGCAGTCGCGAGCGCCGTAAATTTAAAACACTTATCCCCCCCCCCCCCCCCCCC